GCAGGGTAACTATACATAATGTGCTGTATATTTCTCTATTTAAAAAAAAAATCCTGATAGGAGAAAAAACAAACACATATATTGGATGACAAGCGCACAGTGAAATGAAGTGTAAACAAGTATCTACCTGTACACTAAAACTGAAAGGAGGGGCTGGCATTTGGCACAGCAGTTAAGGTGTCAGTTGGAATGCCTGCAACATGTCCTGGAGTACCTAGGCTGGATCTCAGGCTTCACCTCCCAATTCCATCTTCCTGCTGGTGTGGGCCCTGGGAGGCAGCAGATGATAGGTCAAGTGGATGAGTCCCTGTCACTGGCTTGGAAGACCTGACTGAGTTCCCAGCTTCTGGCTTAGAACTGGTCCAGTTCTGACTGTTGCAGGCATTTGGGCAATGAAGTGGCAGATGGGAGCTTTCTCTGTCTCTTGGTCTCCATCTGTCTCTTTGCTTCTCAAATAAAAAATAAAAATCTTAAAAAAAGGAAAAGGAAAAAGAGATTATTATAACCTGGTAATGAAGATTAAGTGAATGTTAGTGTTCGAAATAACACATCTTGGTTTATTTACATTCATTGGCAAAATAAAATATTCAGTAAATGTTAATTTGTTTGAATTTAGCATACTTTAGAGATGTATTATTCATATGACTTTCTAAGATAAATAGAACACGCCATGTTTTTAATTTTGGCCAAATTAGGTCCCTGAAATTTGTTTGAAAGTTTACTTCTCTTTCATGGTGAAATCCAGTCATTGAAGCCTGGAAGTAAAACAATGTTGCCACCTACTGGAAAAGCATGGTAATGATGGTGACAAAGGAAAAATGTATAGACTAATTCTCCAGTTTTACATTATGAAGTAAAAACGAAGCCAACCTGTTCACATTACATCTGTCCTGAATTGTGATTGCCAGTAAAAAAAAAAAACATCTAATAGAATCAAGTTATTCTGCGAGGAGTCCTGTGTACCTATGGCCATTGCGGCTGTGGGCTTTCAGATAATCTTCCCTGCAATATTGTCTTGAAAACATATAAATCCATGTGCAGCCACACCATACCCTGAATTTTTACATGCTTTTTCCTCTTCAACCCTGTTAATATGACCAATTTTATTGTCACTTCTGTTGATCTTTTACTTTTGCATATTATCTTTATTTTAATAAACCGATTTCAAAATGACTTTTTTTTAGTATATCCACACCTGGTTTCCCTTTTAATTTTTGCTCAAGATTCAGTCTATTCCATTTTTAAGGACTTGGAGATAATATTTCTCAATCACAATCAGAAGCATTCTCATCACCAAATCTGCTGAACTAACACTCTCAGCAAGGCCACTAAAAGATCATTTTTAATGGCTACATACCCAGATACTATTGTTCTGTACTCAGCCAACAACTGAAATTTCCCTTTCTTAAAAAAACATTTGAAATGCAGTGATGGGCATGGGAGGGAGAAAGGAGGGAGTGATGGGGCAGTGGGGGAGAGCCAGCAGCCTGGAACTCCATCTGGGTCTCCCACATGAGTGGCAGGGGGCCAAGTACTTGGGCCATCTTCTGCTGCCTTCCCAGGCACATTAGCGGGAAGCTGCTGGGAACACTAATCAGCATTCTGATACGGCATGCTAGCATTGCAGGTGGAGGCTTAACCCACTGCACCACACCGCCAGGCTGCAATTTCCCTTTTTCCTCTTCTCTCTTCTACTATTTTCATACATCACTCTTTCTCCACCTGGTTATAACTAAGAGCAATAATTATGTCATTTTTCATGCTTCCCTCAGCAACCCTTGCCCCCACCACTAGTATTTTGCATGTGGTAGCACTCCATGTTCACTAAACAAAATGCTGAACGAGTAATGCCCCTGGAAAATGCTTTTGTTCCTGTGCAGGAATGGAGGATATCAAGCAACATTAAATGTAAAAAGGAACTGGGGATGGGTGGGGGAGTGCGTTGTGCCTCAGTGGGTTAAGCTGCCACCTGAGGTAAGTGGCTTAAGATGTCATCTGGCTGCTCAGAGAGTCCTGGCTACTCTTCTTCCAATTCAGCTTCCTGGTCTCTCACACAGGTGCAGGGGCCCAAGGACTTGGACCATCCTCTGCTGCCGTCTCAGGCACATTAGCAGGGAGCTGGATCAGAAGGGAGCAGCTAGGACTCAAACCGGCACCCATAGAGGATGCTGGTGCCACAGGCGGGAGCTTTAACCAGCTGTGCCACAGCACCTGCACCGCACTAGCAACATTTCTAAAGATTTATTTTAGGCCGGTGCCACGGCTCAGTAGGCTAATCCTCCGCCTGTGGCGCCGGCACCCCAGGTTCTAGTCCCGGTTGGGGCGCCGGATTCTGTCCCAGTTGCCCCTCTTCCAGTCCAGCTCTCTGCTATGGCCTGGGAGTGCAGTGGAGGATGGCCCAAGTGCTTGGGCCCTGCACCCGCATGGGAGACCAGGAGCACCTGGCTCCTGCCTTCGACCAGCGGCCGCAGCGGCCATTGGAAGGTGAACCAACGATAAAGGAAGACCTTTCTCTCTGTCTCTCTCACTGTCCACTCTGCCTGTCAAAAAAATAATAATAAAATAAAAAACGCAGAGATTTATTTTATTTATTTAAAAAGTGCAGTTACAGGGAGAGAGAGAGAGGGATAGAGAGAGATAGAGCTATCTTCCATTCACTGGTTCACCCCCCAGATGGCTGCAATGGCTGGGTCTGGGCCAGGACAAAGCCAGAAGTCAAGAGCTTCTTTCAGGTCTCCCATGTGGGTTCAGGGGCTCAAGCATTTGAACCATCTTTCACTGCTTTTCAGGATGCAACTAGCAACATTTCAGGTGATCAAGTGTCACATACGGCTAGCAGCCATCTGAACAGTGCAACTATAAAACAAAAATGTAAACATATCTATCATTGCAAAGAAGCTGTATTGTAGGAGCTGGTGTTAAGGCATAATGGGTAAAGCTGCTGCCTGCAACGCCGGCATCCCATGTGGGTCCTCTTGTGATCCAGCTCTCTGCTATCGGCCTGGGAAAATCAGTAGAAGATGGACCAAAGTGCTTGGGCCCCTGCACCCACATGGGAGATTTGGATAAAGCTTCCGACTCCTGGTTTCAACCTGGCCCAGCTCTGGCTGTTGGGATCATTTGGGGAGTGTACGAGCAGATGGAAGACCTCTCTCTCTCAGTCTCTACTTGTCTGTAACTCTTTCAAACAAATGAATAAATCTAGGAGGAGGAGGAAGGAGGGGAAGGGGGGAAGACCACCCAAAGACAACAGAGGAGATACAAACAAGGAAATCAGAGAGAAAATTCTGGTCTCTGATACCTACAGCTACAGGGAATGGTGAACACAGCCTGAGCCCTGGGAGGATATAGGTCAAACCTCACAGTAAAAGACTGTTTAATTCCAATGTATCTCGTCCAACTCTCAGTAAAACACTACAAGGCATACTGAAAGACAAAAGCAGTTGAAGAGGCAGAGCAAGCAACAGAACTAGACTCAGATACAGCAAGAATGTTAGAATTATCACACCATGACATTGATTTATGTGTTAGGGGCTCGAATGGAAAAATGGAAAAATGAATAATATAAACAGAGAAATAGAAATAAGAAAGAATCCAAAGAAAATACTGTAAATACACAACACTGTAGCAGAAATGAAGAATGCCCTAATGGGCTCCTCAGCAGAAACTACAGGGCCAAAGAATCTGAATATCTAAAATGCAAAGAAAAGAAAAAAGAATTTAAAAATAATGGAGTATGTAAGAACCGAGGGAGAATTACAAAAAGCATAATGGAAATATCAAAAGAAAAAGAACAAAAGAAATATCTGAAGCAACGACTGTGAATTTCCCAAAATTAATGATACTACAGATCCAACGACAGATACAACGCCGAACAGTACGAATTCCAAAAAACTCTATACATAAGTACATCACAATCAATATACAGAAGATCAAAGGCAAAGAGAAAATCTGAAAGAAGCCCGAGATGGTGAAAGCACCTTACTACCTACAGGGGAGTAAGGATAAGAACTACAAGTGGGTTCAGAAACCATGGAGGCATGAAGAGAAAAAGTGAACTATTTAAAGTGTACAATGAAAAAAAAACAACCAATCTAGAATTCTCTATCTATTGAAATTAACAAAAGTAACAAAGAAACAGGCTTTCTCTGGCACACAAAATTCGAAGGAATATGGCGACAGCGGAATTATCTTACAATAAGTGTGAACAGAAGTGCTCAGGGAGAAGGAACACGACATAGGGCCGAAATGTGGATCTACATCTTAAAAACGAAAAGCAGTAAAAGAATAGGTGAAAATAAGATAAAATCTTTTTCCTTATAAAATTTTTTCTTAATTCAATAGCTAACATGCTAGCTATTAGTCCAATTAATAGTCACTGTGAGAGAGGGGAAACATTAGGACAAAAGTGAAGTCAAGGGGCTGGGGCTGTGGCATAGTGGATAAAGCGGCCAACCTGTGAGAAAAACACAAGTTCATTGTCTCATGAGGGGAGACAGACAACCTAGGAGGCTCGGGAAAACCATGACGCAGGGCGACGAGGGGCAGGGAAGGTGCGAGTCCAAGCGGTGCTGACATTCCAGTGCCCGGGCGGACGCGACGGCCATCTGAGTTTACTAATTACTAGTCCCACACGGTCGCCTACGACCTCGTACGTAGGCACTGCCCCTGTGAAGAGTCGAACGTAGGGGGTTTGCCTCATCCGCCTTCGGATTCCCGGAGTGAGCAGTGCTTTTACGGCGAGGAGGCGGCGGGAGGCGAAAGGTACGAGTCCCTGCAGAGCCTTAAGCGCCGCGACCACCGCTTCCCATGGGCGGCTGTTCTCGGGGGATTTGGGGCGCAGCGCCCTCGAGGTGGGCGAGCAGAGCTAAGCCAGGCCTCGGGCAGACTCGCAAAGCCACCGCGCCGCCAGCGGCTCCGTTTCCAGGGCTACCGCACTGTGACGCGAACGCAGCCACGGGCGCTCAGCGGCCGCCGGCGACCAGACCTGCAGCCCTAGAACTCCATCAGCAAGAAGAACCGGGCAGTTACGATCCGCGCCCCCCACTCCGCCCGCCCCACGAAAAACCCGGGCCCACCGCGCCCCCTGCCGCGCCGCCGGTCGCATTGCAGCTTCCGGACCTCCTGCGTTTCTCATCAGCAACTTCCGTTTCCGAAGGTCCCGGCTCCGTGGCTTGCCGAGGTCCTCGCCACGGAAAGGTGGCCGCGCCAAACGCCTGAGCCCTGCGAAGGCCTGGGACCAGGACTGCTGCCTCCTCTAGGTGGGCGGCTGCGACAGGGGCGCTGAGAGGATGCCCGATGCCGGCGGGACGTCGTCCCAAAAGCGGAGTCGGGGGCGGAGCGCCCGCTGGCAGCCCGTCAGGCAGGCAGGCGTCAGGCCGGCCCGCGGGCGGAAGAACGGGGCGGGCGTCCGGAGCGGAGTCGTCTAGGAAGCCGCGGTCCCGGGTCAGCCGGCGGGGAGGAGCTGCTGAGACCCAGCCAGACCGCAGGGACGCGGACCCGGACGCCGGCGAGATGCCACTGTTCACCGCCAACCCCTTCGAGCAGGACGTGGGTGAGTGCTGCGCCGGGTCCTGGGTGGCTGTAGGTGCAGCCGGAAAGTGGGCGGCGGCGACTCTGACTGCGGACTGGGAAGGGGCGGTGCCGCCACCTCTGCGACGGAATGTTTTGGGGGCGATCTCGGCGCGTCGCAGGGGGTCTAGGGAGTACTTCCTGCCTGCGTAGGTTGGAGATCCCTAAAGGGCGGTGCCCCTCGCCGGGCGCCGGGAATACGGCCGAGCTGGAGTTGGAGTCTGGACTGATTGCATACTTAGGGAGTTGTCGCGAACTTTCTGCCCCTCTTGGAGCCTGTTGATGAGTCCTCCTGCCTTGGAAGAGGCGGCGGCTGTGGATACCATACTGTCTAGGGCAGCTCGGCGCTGGAGCGGTCGGCTGCCCCGTGTCGAATGGGGAGAACTCACGTATACGCGCGTGCAAGCGCTGATGGCACACATTCAGAATTCATGGACGGTTGTACAGGTGCCGTCCTACATTCAGAATTCACGTACGGTTGTACAGGTGCCGTCCCTTACCTTCGATCGCGCAGATGCGACACGTCCTGTCTTGGGAGATGAAAAGGAAAACTCTGGCATCTCAGAAAAGGCTAGAACATCTCGCATTTTCTGGTTGAAAGCTTGTCTGGTAAAAGTAGACTGAGTTGTTCTGCCCCCTGCACTGTTCCAGAGCTTCCCCTTAGTGGCTCCTGAGCCCCTGCAGGATTTAGTGGGTCACAGTTTAGCATCACTTCGGTAAGAGAGTTACCATGTTGAGATGAAAAGTACTGTTGTTCATAGATGATCTCGCGGACAGTGCCGTCATCCAAAGCTTCAGGCGCTTGCTTGTCAGCTCATGTGTGATTGGATTCAGTATCCAAAGGCAACTTAAGGATAATAAGCTAATTCTAGCCAAGTGGATGGAATTAGAGAAAGTGGAATGAAAGACTAACGAGCTTACATTGGCCTTAAACCTGTATCATGCAAGAAAAATTTGACATGTTGCATTTTCATGTCTTAACACTTTTTAATGTGAAATAGTTAATAACAAAGCAACTCATTAGTTGACTTGAGATGTCTCCTGAAATGTTTCTTTACAGAGTGTTATCTTTTTTACCTACAGTCATGTGACACATAAGATGTTTTGTTCAATGAGGGACCACGTACATGATGAGGGGCTCTTACAAGGTTGTGTGTCCTAGTGATGTCGTTGTCGTCTTAGTTTGTGTAAGCACAGACTGGTGTTTGTACGGTGACGTGGTTGCCTAACGATGCATTTCTGGGAAGCAGGCCCCATCACTAAGCATCACATGACTGGTCTTCACTCAGCAGGTATTTCTCACTGCTTAATCGTCAGTGTCACACCTTTGTTCACTGAGCAGACATGCATCAGGTATCTGCTGTGTATCAGGTATTGTGCGTAGTTCTGAGGATGCAACAGGTGAATACATGGGCTTCTTGCCTTCGGGCAATTCTCTCAGTCTAGTGGAGGACGTACACACGTAAGAAGACAGTTATAGTGTATTCATCAGTTTTCTGTTGCTGTAACAGCACACCCGAGACTGCGTAATTTATAACAGGAAGGGGTTTGTTTGGGTCACCAGTTTTGGAGGCAGGGAACTTCACCTTCTGTTCAGCTGCTGACCAGAGCCTGTGAACAGGGCAAGAATGAGTGCGCACCATCAGGAGAGAGGAAAAGGAGACCAAACTTCTGACCTATTCCTTTAGGAAAAAATGTTAATCCGTTCATGAGGGTGGAGCCACCATCAGGAGAGAGGAAAAGGAGACCAAACTTCTGACCTATTCCTTTAGGAAAAAATGTTAATCTGTTCATGAGGGTGGAGCCCTTGGCCCAAAATGCCTCTCGAAGATGCCATCGTCTCTCAGCACTGTTGCGTGGGGAGCCGCGGTCAGATCACAGCACACAATGTGTTGATATACACAAAATGCCTTCCCCTATCTGTTTAAAACAGTCATCTTCCCTGAGGAGACAAGGCCCGCAGGGAGGAGCTCTTGCTAGAAAGGTGCTGAAACTCTGCTCTCCCTCCCCCTCTGCTGACAGCACTTCTGCTAGCCAAAGCCCTGTCCCCAGTACCAATCAAAGTGAGGAGGACAGGATTTTGAGATGAAGGAGAGAGAACATTTAATCTGTCCACAGACGATAGGGACTCCTGCTGTGCTAGGGGTTTGGGGCTTATAAAGGGGCACAAGGAAGGAGGTGCTGGCATGGCACAAAATCATGAGAGAGCTGCGGGGCTTTGGTGTCAGGTGCCACAGCCGGTCACTAGAGGGATGACAGTGCATTCCCTCTCAGTTTCTGTGGTGCTCCTTTAGGTCCACAGGTGGTGAGATGAGCTCTAGCCTGGGAACCAGGCGCTTGAGCCTGAGGACGTGGGCAGGCAGAAGCCAGCAGTGCAGCCCTGAAGCATCAGCTTCCTGCCTTAACGTTTGAGTAGTATAGGTCGTTCACTTCACGTGATTTCATACTCGGCTGCACTTCTGCCACTCCCGTGTGCTGGTGTGTGTGATAACGATTATGTTATAGACAAGAGCCTTTTACAATGAAACTTGTTTGGTAGGTGCGCATGCTCACTGGGGGTTGAGCAGTCTTTGTGACACCATTCACGTGAAAAAGAAGTGCTTTTCTCAGTGCCTGAGAAAAACTGACAGGTCAGGATGTCAGGAAGGCACTGAGGAGTCGATGGATGATAGGTGTTTCGTCAGGTGCATGCTGGCCAAAGGCTCAGAAGTAGGGAATTTTGGCAAGTTGCTGTCTTGTCTTAGAGTTAGACCTACAAGCTCTGAAAAGTATACTAGGTATAGCAGCATTTGGGCTCTTGACACATTCTAAATTGGATTTCTTCCAATTTGGATTAATTCTTTGTTGAATAAAATTTCTTTGAAGCTCTTCTAGGAGGAAGGGGGAACAGAAAATATTCTCATACCTCCCCTACCTCCTTGCCCTGGGGCCTGATTGTTAAAGGGGGTAATGGGGCGGGTGCTGTGGTGCAGCTGGTTAAAGCCCTGGCCTGAAGCCATATGGGCGCCGACTGCTCCTCTCCAGCTCTCTGCTATGGCCTAGGAAAGCAGTGGAAGATGGCCCAAGTCCTTGGGCCCCTGCACCCGTGTGGGAGACCCGGAGGAAGCTCCTGGCTCCTGGCTTCGGATCAGCGCAGCTCCAGCCATTGCGGCCATCTAGGGAGTGAACCAGCGGATGGAAGACCGACCTCTCTGTCTCTACCTCTTTCTGTAACTCTTTCAAATAAAAATAAAATAAATCTTTTTTTTTTTTTTTTTTTAAAGAGGTAAGCACTGGTCTCCTGCAGTGGAGCCTGGTTGGGGCAGCCATTCTTAAGAGAATGTAAAGGAGTAAGTGAAGCGTGGGGGGCGGAGCAACAGAAGGAAGGTTAAGTGGTCAGTATTAGAAGAGGAGATGTCATTTCCTTATGTTGTCCCAACTTTTCCTGAGTCATGCCTCTGTTCTACATTGTAACTCCAGTTCTTTGCATTTCTTTTTTGCCCCCTTAATCAAGCCAGGCATATCTTTCTTTCCAGAAACTGCCTGTGTTGTTTACCATTCATTTGTAAATGTTGGTCTTTTTGATAACCTTGATATCGCCTTTTTTTTTTTTAAAGATGTATTTATTTATTTGAAAGTCAGAGTTATACAGAGGGAGGAGAGGCAGAGAGACAGAGAGGTCTTCCATGGGCTAGTTCACTCCCCAGTTGGCTGCAAAGGCCGGAGCTGTGCTGATCCAAAGCCAGGAGCCAGCAGCTGCTTTCTGGGTCTCCTACATGGGTGCAGGGGCCTAAAGAAGTGGGCCATCTTCTACTGCTTTCCCACCCAGGCCATAGCCAAGAGCTGGATCGGAAGTGGAGCAGCCCACGACTCAAACTGGCACACATATGAGATGTTGGCACTGCGGGTGGTGGCTTTTACCTGCTATGCCACAGTGCAGGCCCCAGTACTACCTTCTTGTGTCTCAGGAAGCTGAACTCAAATTGTACCTCAACAAAACTCTTCTGATACAGCAAATTGAAGTGTGAACTTTTTTTTTTTTTTTTAAGATTTATTCGTCTACTTGATAAAGGCAGTTACAGTGTGAGAGAGAGAGATAGCTCTTCCATCTGCTGGTTCATTCCCCAAAGGTCACGCCAGCCTGGTCTAGGCCAGACTAAAGCCAGGTGTCTGGCACTCCGTACTGGTACCCCTACGTTGGTATCAGGGACCCAAGCACCTGGGCCATCTTCCGCTGCTTTTCCAGGCACAATTAGCAGGGAGCTCACTGTTGAAATCTTTACTCAGTATAGAGTTGATCTTCTGTGTATAAACATAATTAAAAATAAATCTTCATGAAGAATGGGATGGGAGGAGGAGTAGGAGATGGGCTGGTTTGTGGGTGGGAGAGTAGGTATGGGGGGAAGAACCTCTATAATCCAAAAATTGTACTTTTGAAATTTATATTTATTAAGTAAAAGTTTTCTATTAAAAAAAAAAAAAGTGGAGCAGCCGGAACTCATGTGGAGCTTTTATGAGATGCCAGTGGCTTAACCTGCTGCACCATAGTGCCAGCCCAAACTTTGGTCTGTGAGGATACTTTTATTAGTGAAATTTGAATGTGTGCATTCCTGTGTCTGGCTTTTGTTGTGCACATATAGGGTGCCCCAAGTGATAAAGTTTTATGTAAAAGGTGAGAAAGCAAGCACGCACGTGTGAGCATGGGTTGCCTTACGCAGAAAGATACCTGTCGTGAGTGGGTAATGGGCCCAGAAGGAGAAGGGGGTAGAGTGGGGAGACAGAGTTGTACCCCAGCACTCCTCTAGTCCTGGCTTCTGGAGGGGAGAGGCAGCACCTCCCAGCACCTTTTATGAGGTTGGAGAGGAGAAGGTTGCCTCTACAGACATGAAGTCATCTGGGAGTTTTATGATACCTCCATAAAATTCCATGTGGGCCTTATATACGTATTTACATGATGAATTTCCCCCTAGGTCCCCTGTGAAAGGCATCCTAGGAGAGGCAGTG